AGATCAAATGTGACTATCAACAAATTACAAGGTATATAGTATAATTAACCCCATATTTCTTTAATTGGTCTGGTGTTGCTGTCTTTCGCTTTCGGTGGACAGCTTCGTTGTCAAATTTTGTCTGCATCACTTTTTGTGGATAAGCTTCATATTCAATTTTGTCTGCATGACCATATTTTCTCCTTTACAAGAAATGCAACTTGCTTTACGGATGCTTTTTATTTTAACTTTCCCCAATCACCATTGACTTCAAGTCTTTTTGTGTCTATCCATTAGATTTTGTTGTTTTCTCTGACTTACTGCATGTGCGATTAATAGCTTTTTATTTTAATATCGAAATTGATTTTACATTGAAATGGACATCAATTTGATTTTGATGATTCAAGAGATGAAATTGGTTCAAATTTTCAAAAATAAAAAAAAAACTCAAAATTTCATTTTACGAATTGTATTGTATCGTATTTTACTATACTCAGGTCCATTCTCACCTCTAGCCTTGCGTATTTTTGTTTGGTTTCTGTGATCTCTTTTGTTTAGCTAGAAACAAAAATAATTCTGTTTTTTATGGTTCATCAATAGTTGTTATGGCCTCCAAACATTTCATGAAGATGACTCTCTTTCTCTGCATGGACTAAACCTAAGATTAGTTTTCTTCCAGCTTGTTGTTTGCTAATGACTGAACTGAATATTTTTTCATTATGTTAAGTCTATAGATGATGGATGGCCCACCATTGACAACTTGGAAAATAAGAAAATGGTTAATTCTGTTTTCAAAATAACCTTTTGTTTAGCAAATATGTGTTTATATTTTGTTAGTTCATCAATGGTTGTTAGCCTTTTTACATTTCATTAAGGCAGCATCTTGTTCTTTGCAGGAACTAAATTATAATTAATTACTTTTGTTCCAATTAATTATAAATCAATAATTGAACTAAAGAATTATTTAATACGTCAACTCTAATACACGATGAGAATTATTTATGGGTCATGATGGGCACTTTGTCGTGGGATTATCTGTTTAGATGGCCTGATAGATATTGAGATAGATAAGGTAGTTGCAATTCGTGAGGCAATTGACTTGATTAAAAATGTAAGAATTCTTAATTACACACTTAATGGTATTAACCACTTGCATGACGAGGAAGAGGTGCTATCAGCCAGTGGTCCTACAATTGAGAATATTCGGCTGTCCATGTTAGAAGCAAAAATTGTTGTTGTAAAATGGGTTCCTAGGGATGCCAATAAGGTGGCACATAAATTAGCTTTTCATGCTAAATATTCACACCTTATGAAATTCCTCACCCAACTTTGTTAAGCAATTCATGATGGACCATTTCCAGCAATTTAGTTAATAATTTTTTTATCAAAAGTCGAATACACGATGGCCCATCTTTGACAACTTAAACAAAATGAGGGTTAACTACTGTTTTCAATTATTTCATTTTGTCAACCATAAGAAAAAAAAATTATTAGGGATGTAATAATTATTAGGGAAAATAATTAAATAAAATAATTATTTTATTTTTACAAAATAAAAAATAATTATTTTACTTTTAAAAATAAATAAAATAATAATTTTTATTAACAAATAATAAAATATTAGGGATATATATGTAATTTTATTATTAAAATAAAAAATATATATAATCGAGCTCGCGAGTCGTTCGCGAGTTAACGAATTTAATATTTTTGAGCTCGAATTTGACTTAATTACCTCGAACTCAACTCGAACTCGATATTGATCGAATTTGACTCGAACTCGTATTTGAGCCGCCCGATCGCGAGCAGCTCGATTTGTTTATACCCCTAGCTGAAATGCAAAATGAAGAACTGAAGTATGATGATCGGTGCTGGTCATTGGACTAGACATCATGCCAGACATCACCAGAAGTTGGAATTTGAATAATGCAAAGCAATGACCGGTGTCATGATTGGCGTCGTTTATCATCGGATTATTATCATGCACTTCTTTTTTCAGCTCTAAGAAACCTATTCCAGCTGGGATTCAATGGTAACATGTAGTAGCTATAAATAAGAGATCTTTGGAACAATTAGGGTTGGAAAACATAAGCTTAACTTAGTTTAAAACATATTTTCATAGATTTTCTTAAGAGATCAAGATCGAACTCATGCGAATCAAGAAGTGTGCAAAGAGAAGATTGGAATGTGCAATTGAGAAGTTGCTTTCTCTTATTCTTATCTTTATATTAAAACATTGAATTTGTGGTTTTAATTTTTTTTCCATCATGTTTAACTAATTCACTTCTAGGATTAGGGTCTTTATGAAGGAAATTGATTAATTTTTCTAGTTTAACTTCTTAACTTTTGCTAGGATTTGTCTATCTTGATTTTAATTTCGTGTTTATGCCGAATCAACATGAACATAATTTTTGAGTTGTATTAAGCTCAAAAGTGACATGCAACTGTGCATTAGACAGATGACATGCTTAATCTAATCATGAGTAGAGGTTAAGGTTCGCGTGACACCATTGATAAGTGAATATTTCAAAGGTGTTTTGCATGGTTACATGCAAGTTATTGGTGTGTTTTTAAGGGACCACAGCGAATTTTTAGTCCTTTTTGGTGAAATTTCTTCAAGTATCGCTTATTGAACTAAATGTGTGAAATGAGTGGATTAATACATAAATTTGTGGTGTTTATAAGTTATTGGTGCATGAAGCAATTGTTTGAATTAAAGAAGATGCAATGTACTTCTTGGAGGATAATGCATAAGTGAGACAAGAAGAGAAATTTGTGCAACAAAGGAAGAAAGTTGAAGCTAGAAACAGGGGAGCTGGATCCGAACTCGGATTGGAGCAAGAGAGCAAGGATCTGAGCTCGGATATACTTCTGTAATCAGGGTTGTATTCGAGGCCATGATTCAAGCTCAGATCCCTTTTAGAGAGGCCTCGGATCTTGCATGCAAAATACGTAAAAAAAATGAAGAAATCTTACATTCGAGTTCGAATCAGTTGGATACCCTTTGGATCCTAGGGCTCGGATCTACCTCTCTCTTTTGCAATTTGTAGAACAACTTATGCAGATTTCACACTTGCTTTTTGACTCTTGTCTCACAAGGAATTTTGGTTGGAAAGCTAACAAAGCAACTTGGACATTTGAAGAAAGAATAGTGGAGATTCCAATGAAGGGCTTTTTGGGAAGAAAAGGAAAAGGAACTAAGGAGTATATGTAAAACATAAGGAATCAAAGGGAGGAAAAGCTTAGAGATAGAAGTTAAAAAGAAGAAAGTAGGGTTTTCTTTAGTTTTCTCACTAGTTTTAGTGTTTTGTCTATCTTTCTTATTTCCTTAGAGAACCTTGAAGAACACATGATGTAATCAAATATTTGGTTGGTTATGAAGTTGATGAAATTTGGAGATCTTGTTTCTTCATTTGAATGAGTAATTGCTTCTCCCTTTTCTCTTTATTTGCTTTAAAGAATGTTTGGTTCCATAGAAGTTATGAGCTTTATTGTGAAATACACTATGTGTAACTAGATCTTCTTGTTCTAGGGGTAGTAATTGCTCATCCCTTTTCTCTTTATTTGCTTTAAAGAATGTTTGGTTCCATAGAAGTTGTGAGCTTTATTGTGAAATACACTATGTGTAACTAGATCTTCTTGTTCTAGGGGTAGATGAAGCTATTTATGCTTTGATTATGGTTAGATCTTGATTATTACTATATCTTGTACTTGCTCATGCTTTAACACTTGTAAGTGCTTGATCATCATTTGCAAGTCATCTTATTTGTTGTTAATCTATGAAAATAGTTGACAATGATGGAAAATGAATGAGTGGGACTTAAAGAGTAGACACACGAAAGTAGTGGTGCACTTGGGTGGACTTGTATGACATTTCTTGTCCTTGATCTAGTTGATACTTGAGATTTCACCACGAAAGTAAGGAAACTTAGGTATTAGCTAACTTCGGTTCATCGGCAAAAATGAGTTCCGATTGCCTTAGTGAAATGCATCCCTAGCAAAACAAGAAAAGTAGTATTAATTGATTGTTTCTTCTATGTTTGACCATGATTAGTGGATTCTATTCCCTAGAACACTTGTGTTATTTGAGTTACTCCAATTTAGATTGTTAACTTTTGAATTGTTTTATCATTATTGTTGTTTAATGATGATTAATTATTGTGTAGTCTAGCTAATAGAGAGTGTGATTAAGCCTTAGTAATTCAAAAGTGGTTCTCGTGGGATTCGACTCCCTTTCCTTGTACTACGATTCACAACCCGTGCACTTTGGGTTAACGAGAAGATTAGATTTAAAATTCGAGCACAGGTATACACCTCGTCAAGTTTTGGCATTGTTGTCAGGGAACCATGGCAATATTAGAGCTAAAACAATCTTTATTACTCTAGACATTGTAGTAATTTGTGAATATCTTTTAATTATTGATAGAGTAGATTTTATTTCATCTAGTTTGTTTAGTTTGTGGTTAATTTCTCTTTAATTATGATTACAGCAGTGCATGCACCGAGTTCTATGTGGAATGGTCTGATAGGATCTTGAAATCAAAAGAACTCTACGGAGACGAAGAGGGCAAACACTGCAAGACATCAAGGAGACACAAGATGAAGGTGAAACTTTCGTCAAAATTCCTCCAATTAATACAATGGCAGATAGAAGGGAATAGACGACCTTTAACAGACTTTGCATTGCCTGGAAGGAATAAACTACAAACTAGCATTGACCCATGGTAAATGCTAATAATTTGAAAATTAAACCTGAACTAATTCAAATGGTGCAATAATCTCAATATGGAGGTAATGCTACTAAAAATCCTAATTCCCATTTGTCTACCTTTTTGGAAATATGTGACACAATTAAACTTAATGGAGTTAGCGATGATGCAATTAGGCTTAGATTATTTCCTCTTTCTTTGAGGGACAAGGCTAAGATTTGGTTACAATCACACGCTCTTAATACTTTTATAACTTGAGCCAATTTGTCCAAGGCATTTTTAGATAAATTTTTTCCACCAGGCAAGACTGTTAAACTCTGTATGGATATAATTAGGTTTTCTTAATAGGATAGAGAATCTCTATATGAATTTTGGGAGCGTTTTCAGGAGCTTTTACGTAAATGTCCACATCATGGTTTGCTAGATTGGATCGTGGTTCAAACATTTTACAATAGACTCACTTATGCGATCAAGACTCATATGGATATAGCGGCCGGAGGTGCATTGATGGGAAAGAGTATAGAGGAGGCTCAAAGTTTGATTGAAAAGATGGCTACCAATAACTATCAATGGGCCAATGAACGAGGTAACACAAGAAGACAGCAGGTATACTCGAACTTGATAATCTAAATGTGTTAAATGCCAAGATGGATAATGTGGTTAAGATTCTTAATAGACAGGTTGGTTCTAGTCCTAGTCAAGGAATAAATGTTGCCTATTGTACTATGTATGGAAGAGACCATGATGACTCTATTTGTGCAAGTGTTGAGCAGGTACAATACCTCAACAATTATAGCCAGCAACCCGAAAACAATCCGTACTCCAACACTTACAATCTGGGGTGGCGAAACCATCCTAACTTTGGATGGAAGGACTAAGGGAACCAACCGCGGCTAACAAATCCACTGAACTTTCAACCGAAACAACCGCTTGTGGAGTCTAAACCGGTTTGGGAGTTGGCAATTGAGAAGCTAGCAAATGTATCAATTGATAAATTTGAAAAGTTAACTAGTACAACTACTCAATTGTTTGAAAGAATTGAGGGAAGAATTGACCAAATTACCAATATGTATAGGAACGTTGAGGTCCAATTAGGTCAAATAGCCAATGCTATAAATAATAGAAACCAAGGGGAGTTGTCTAGCAAAATTGAGGTGAAGCCAAGAGAACATATATAAGGCTATAACCATCTACAATGGTAAACAATTAAGTGTGCAGCTTGTAGTTGAGAGAATGAAAGAAAAAGAGAATGAGAGGAAAGAAGATGAACAAGAGAGTGAGGTAGTAGAAGAGAATGAGCAAGCAAAGAAAAAGAAAAAGTAGATGTGAGCAAACTATCAACTTCTGTGATGACCCTAATTCCTCCACCGGTTCCATTTTCATATAAATTGAAGCAATCAAGAGTTAATAAAGAATTTGAAAATTTTGTTAATATTTTTAAACAATTACATATTAACATCCATTTGTTGATGCTATTTTGTAGACTCCCTCTTATATGAAATTTCTCAAGGAAATTGGAGGATTACGAGACTATTGCATTAACGGAAGAGTGTAGTGCCATCATTCAAAACAAATTGCCACCCAAGTTGTAGGAGGGCAGAGTGGTGGCGGGCAGAGGAGAGAGGAAAGGGATGATGGAAAAGTTTGGGGGTGGCAGGGGAGGGAGAGGGAGGGGGGAGAGGAGAAAATAAAAAAAAAAAAAGAAGAGAAGTGGTGCTGGCGGAGGTGCTGGAGGTGGGAGGCAGAGGTAACGGGGAAGGGGGAGGGGGAAAGAAGAAGAAGAAGAAGAAGAAGAATGTGGCGGCCCCACTTCCCCCTAAGGCGAACCAAAGGGTTGGCGGGGTCGCCTGCTTAACTCTCGCCAGAATTCACTCACTCTAACAACTAATTTCACCAAACATAAATCGAAAATAACCCTTACTTTTCGAGCAAGCTAAGTACTTAAATAAATCATGCAATTCAACTTATACAACCCAAAAATACAATTCCAAGTACCAACGAAAATGTCGAGCTTAAAATACTTAATTTACAATTTAAAATTCCTAATCCAGGGCACAGAAGCACCACAGGATTCACATTTTCCCAAAGGCACAAAAAAAAAATCATCCAAAAGATATTAAAGTATCTCCCAAAGTACAATTACAAAAGTGGGCATTCAAAATATAACATTTCTTTTCTAGTTCTCCAAGACTTCATGCATTTCAGAACCTGTCAAGGAAAAACAAATTGGAAGGGATGAGCCAATAACTCAGTGGTGCCTCGAAACATGCAATTCACATAGGGTAATTTAACAAATACAAATGGACAAGTAAGCAATTAACAATTTAGGAAAACGAAGTAACATGACAAGAAAATGATACGGGGCTCTCAGGAGCCAAAGTCCTCGCGCTCGATCAGGTAATTTATAGTAGTTGACACTTCGTCAACTTTCACTACCTAATCTCCATGTAGACATTTTCCCTAATCTACACGTCTCCTAGCAACGACTTCCCCCTTATTTTCGGGCCCGACTCCAACACGAATTTTGCAAGCACTTTTACCAAGACGGCAGAGAGGTACCTCCCACTCTAATAGAGCGTGGTACGTGCATCCGTTTGGTTTATTTAGTCGACGAGACCACGCTCCAATCGACATTGCAACACTTGTACTTGTGGCATTTCACGCAATCACATAGCATATAACCTTTCGTGATAGCTCTAGCAAGTACTTTTAACAAGTAGTTCAACTAACAATTAAACACGATTCATGCAAGAGACACTTCACCTCAAGTGAAGTGTCTAAAATTCCAAACTCTGATCGAGATTGTGCTCTTCACCAACTCCTAAAATCATACAAATAATTCACATAAATTTCCACTTTTGAGTTGGCGAATTTAACTCGAGTCAACTAACATTTAATTTCACTCAAAAAAATCCCAAACTAGCACAAATCGTTTTCTCAAAGTGAAATCCACAAATTGAGCTATACACACCCCTTAACTAAACACAAGTCAAATTGGGCTCATGCTAACGTGAAAATCATTCAACATGTCTCATGCAAATCTGGACAAATTTTCAAGTGCATTCGGTACAAGCAGTCCATTTTCTCTTCAATTTGTCCAAAATTTTTCAACTACTCAAAAGCTACATTTTTACCCAAACAATACTTCACATATAGGTTAACATGTTTACAGCTCAAATGGTTCAAAAACTTGTCAAAACCAAACCCCAAAATTCGCCCAAAAATCTGGAAATTTTCAGAATTTTTTTTTTCGGACAGCTCAAGGGCATTTTTCACCAAAACTACTCTACACATATAGGTGAACATATACATGATTTAAATAGTTCAATAACTTCACAAAATCTAGCTCAAAATTTGGGTAAAAATGGAAGAAAATCAAGCCTGTTTGTGCGGCTATAGCAGAGCAGAATTTTCTCGTCTTTTTGCTCAACCATTTTCAACTTATAACTCATACTTTAAGTCCATAACAATCACAACTAATTAGTGTAACCTCCCAACAAGCAATCCAGTTCATTACCTAAGCAAAATTTGCAAAACAACAACCGGTAACAAAGCTGGAAAATTGCTCCCTCATCCGGCCAGCACCCCATTTTCATTCTTAAAAATTTTTCCAACATTTAACCACCACAAAACACACATATAAACATATAAAACACCTCTAGCTTCATCAATCATTAGCTTAGAGGATCAGCAACCCAACAAGTTTCATCAACGCAAGCTAAAATTTCAAGAACCAAAAGCTGCAAAAATCTGAAATTCTGCTAAGTGCTAGGCGGAAGTTTTTGGGTTACCTTCAAGTGATTGTTTACTAGCTAAATGAAGTGCCTAGTTCCCCAAGTTTGCTCCTAGAATCAAAGAAGTCAGTCGGCACCCTTGCACTCTATTTTTCTGCTTGTCTGACCTGTCACCGCAGCAGCACAGTAGCGACCGAAGATGAAGAGGACTGGGGTTCTGGGGTTTTTGGTGAGCTTGGGGTGGTTCTGTGGTTGGTGGAAGGAAGAAAAATGAAGCTGGTTTTTCTCCTTCACCCTGGTCCGAACAACCCAGCAGTAGTAGTAGCGGCAGGAGCAACAGCAACAACGATCTTCTCCTTCCTCTTGCTCGATCGAGGCAGCAGCAAAGAGTGAAGGTTGATGCTGGAAATGGAAGGTGAAGGTAGGAGTTGAAGGTTGGCGAAGATGGAAGATCGGTGGAAGCTGTGGAAGAGCAGTGGCTCCTGTTTCTTTCTTGCACCCGAAGATCAGAATTTGGAGGGAAGATATGAACGTGAAAGCTGGGATAAGATGGGTTGAAAATGAAGGTAAGCTAAAGGTATAGGTTTGTTAACTTTTGGGCCTGCCATGAAGGGTGGGGAAATTTTGAATTGAATCGCGTTTAGGCGCGAGAATTTTATCTAATGGTAAGAATTCCCCATTTAACATTTCCTTAGCTTAGTTGTACATTTTTATAACCTCTACATACCTAACATTTCAACTTAGGGCTACATTGCGCGTCAGTGCGCAAAAATTCATCCTAATGCTTAGCCGAACGCGAACCATCAAATAAATTTTTAAAAATTCATGTAAATTAAAATATAACATTTATATAAGTGAAAACATCATTAATAATATAAATACACATTATTAAATATAAATACATATTATTTAATAATTTCAATATTTAAATAATATTTTGATTTTAATTTTCAGAAATTAATGCAATTTTGAGATCCTCACAAAGAAGAAGAGAGGAAAGAAAAGAAAAAGGAAAGAAAGAAAAAGAAAGAGAAAGAGAAAAAGAAAGAAAAAAAAGGAAAAAATGTTTTTCATCTTACAAAAATTTCTATAAAATTTTTCACATTACAAAAACTTCTACAAAAAAATTTTTCACCTTACAAAAACTTCTACAAAATTTTTTCAAAAACATCTACAATGCACTATAGTAAAGTTTTATACAAACTCCCAAAAAACTCAGGCCCAATGTACGACAAAAAAACCCCCACAACTACGACAAAAAAACACACGTCAGAGCTAGGTCCATGTTCAGACCACAAGAAGTCGAAGTAAAGTCAGTGAAAAGCATAATGAACTCAATAAATTGCATTCAACTTGGCTGCAACCTCGGGACAAGGGGCACGGACGGTTGCAGGTGCAGGTGCAACCGTCCCGGACGGTTTTGGCCATTTTTAACTGCGCGTAACTTTCTTTGTACATGGCGTAACTTTTTTTGCACATCGCGTAACTTTAGAGCAAATTTTTGTGAGACCCACACATGACGTGGAAATTGAATTACAACTTATAATTTCAGCCGCACAAATTTTTGAGGCCAGATCATGGCGATTAACCGTTTATGGACAGTCATACCCCATTCCGCAACCTCGTTAGACAAACTTTATGAGCACTAGAAAGGTCAAAAAGTACATCTTATCAGTTGTCACACT